TGATTAATTTATTACTCATTCATGATTATGCAAGCAGGATGAGTAAAGGAAGAATTTAAGTCTTCTAAGACGAGGTTTAGGGTTTTGGGGTGCCTTATACACTCAAGGTGTTTATACACCGAGGTAGTAAAGGAATAAATAATAAATGTTGCTTGCCACTAATAAATCAAGAATTGAAATTGAAAAGTTGTTTTACTTGATTGCATTGATATTGGATTGATTGTATTGTTATGCATATGAGTCATCACCAAGTCTAAACCTGTAAATCACGTAAAGTGCAAGATGGATGATCAATAAAACTCTGGATTGGTGCACTTCTGGAGTAATATGGGGTACATAGGGTATTAGCCGTGTACTTTTCTCGAGGCCGTCTGATCTACGAGTCTCTTATTTCAAATATTTTTCAAAACTAGGAGTTAGGTGAGATCTCATACTAACTACGGTCACGGAGTCGCGCCCGTGGTCGTTGGATGTTTATTGATGTTTCCGAAAGGAGGCATGGGGTTTTTCTTTTATTGATGTTCCAAATGGAGCATGGGTTGGACAACCTTGTCTATTGCGTAATCCAATGAATAAAAATAATGATTTACCTATTATTAATTATTGGAATCTTAGTAATGTAAGCAGTTGAGTCGTGTGTTGAGTCTATAATTTAATGATGCATGATGATTGATTATTAGTAGCATGTTATGGATTTCTTAATTTATTTCGCAGCTTGTATGTACACAGCTTCGCTGATTGCGTGCTTTGTGTGTCTTTCTTTGGTCATGGCCTTCGCCTTTCAATGACCCTATGACGATCCAATTTTTACACTTGTAATATTGGGGAGCAGAATTGCCACAGGTTCTTACACATGCAGCATTCATCAGGGTTGTGGGATCTTGAGTAGAGAGTTGGTTGTTTGCATTTTATTTCTTTTGCAAGTTTGAATTTATTTTAATTCGATTTTATTTGACACTATTTCTTTTGGGTTTGAATTTATTTGAACACTGAATTTAATCACTTACTACTTTTATTGGGTTTTGAATAAGGGCCTTAATGGTTCCAAATTGTATGACTTAATTTGGTTTCATTCGTTGGTATTGAAATTTATTTATAACTGATTTAGTTTTTCCGATAAAGCCTTAACGTTTGAACACGTGGCGGTAGCACGCCAGTAATTCTCTTGAATATTGTTCAGGGTCTTCACAGGTTTAAAGAGAGAATTATTGGGGTGCTACAATAAATGTTCGTGATAGGCTTGAATTAATGAAATCGATGCAAATTGTAAACCGGTAAATTGGTCATTTAAAGGCAAATTGGTTGGTTCCACCCACCCAATTAGACTCTAGGAGGATATTAGGGACCATGGTAAACATTTCGGCAATTTTTATTTCAGGGCGAAAAAAAGGTCAAAAATTTCCAAAATTAAAGGCTAATATCCACGCTTTTGGAGAAATTTTGGAGGTTTCGGTGCCCAGTATCGAAAAGCCTTTGAGATTCTAGGGAATACATCTCGAGGTCATATAATATCGTTTGGAACCATATATGATCATTATTTGTTGTCATAAATGTTCGTGGTAGGCTTGATTTAAAGAAATCGATGTAAGTTGTATGCCAGTAAATTGGTCGTTTAAAGGCAAATTAGATGGTTTCACCCACCCCAGTGCACTGTCGGAGGGTATTAGGGATCATGGTAAACATTACGACAATTTTTATTTTCGGCAGAAAAAAAAGTCAAAATTTTCCAAAATTAAAGGCTAATGTCCACGCTTTCTGAGAAATTTTTGAGGTTTTAGGGTCCGGTGTCGCAAAGTCTTGAGATGTTAAGGAATACACTTGGGGGTCATATAATTCCGTTTGGAACCATATATGATCATTATATGTTATCATATATGTTCGTGGTAGGCTTGAGTTAATGAAATCGGTGCAAGTTGTAAACCTGTAAATTGGTCGTTTAAAGGCAAATTAGATGATTCCACCCACCCAATTAGACTTACGAAGGGCATTAGGGACCATGGTAAACATTTCGGCAATTTTATTTTCGAGCAAAAAAAGTCAAAAATTTCCAAAATTGAAGACTAATGTCCACACTTTTTGAGAAATTTTGGAGGTTTCGAGGTCCGATATCGAAAAGCCTTGAAATTTTAAGGGATACATCTCAAGGTCATATAATGTCGTTTGGAACCATTTATGATCATTATAGGTTGTCATAAATGTTCATGGTAAGATTGATTTAATGAAATCAGTGCAAGTTGTAAACCGGTAAATTGGTCGTTTAAAGGAAAATTGGATGGATATACCCACCCAATTGGACTCCCGGATGGTATTACGGACCATAGTAAAAAATTTTGACAATTTTTATTTCCGGGAGAAAAAAAAGTCAAAAAATTCCAAAATTGAAGACTTATATCCACGCTCTTTTGAAAATTTTGGAGGTTTCGGGGCATGGTGTCTAAAAGCCTTGAGATTTTACAAAATAGGGGTCATATAGTGCCGTTTGGAAACATATATGATCATTATATGTTGTCATAAATGTTCGAAGTAGGCTTGAGTCAATGAAATCGGTGCAAGTTGTATACCGGTAAATTGGTCATTTAAAGGCAAATTGGATGGTTCTACCCAGCCAATTGGACTCCCGGAGTGTATTAGGGACCATTGTAAACATTTCGGCAATTTTTATTTCCAGGTGAAAAAAGTCAAAAAATTCCAAAATTGAAGGCTAATATCCACGCTTTTTTGAGAAATTTTGGAGGTTTCGGTAGAACTGTCAATTCTTATTAAAAAGGTCGGGTTTGGGTCGGTAAGAGTGGGTCGGGTCAATACTGGTTGGGTCAATTCAGATTAATTCCATAACTTATGCGGGTTGGGTTTGGGTTGGGTCATGCTTGAGTCAGGTCATACTTCTTATCCGATTTTGGTCAAGTTTAGGTCGGGTTAATATCAGGTCGGGTTACATTCGAGTCGGGTGAACAATAGTTCGGTTTAATTCGGGTTAAAACGGATTAGGTTAATTCTCGGGTTCAAGTCGGGTTCGGTTCAAGTCAATAATTTGCGAGTTAGAATCAAGTCGGGTCATTCTCGGGTTTAGTCGGGTTCGGTTCAAGTCAATAATTTGCGGGTTATAATAAGGTCGGGTCATTTTCAAGTCAGATCATTCTCATGTTTAAATCGGGTTCGATTCAAGTCAATAATTTGCGAGTTATAATCAGGTTGGGTTATTTCCAAGTCGGGTCATTCTCGGATTTCAGTCGGGTATTGTTCAAGTCAATAATTTGCATGTTACAATCAGGTCGGATCATTTCCAAGTCAAGTCATATTCGGGTTCAACTAACTATAAATAGATAATTATCATTTTATCAAGCTAATTAAACTCGGGTCGGGTTAGGACCGGGTCGAGTTGAATTCAAGTCAGGTTAGTAACAAGTCGGGTTAAATTGAGATTTTGATGGGTTAAAATGAGTTTAGGTCAATTTTGGGTCAAGTCGGATTCTGTTCACGTCAATAATTTATGGGTTACATACGTGTCGGGTCATCTCTAGGTCGGCTCGGGTTCAGGTCTCACATACTCGGGTCTAGGGTTGGTTTCAGGTCGGGTTTGGGTCACTTTTTTTTCGGGTTTAGATGGGTCGATTAATAATCGGGTTTGAGTCGGTATTTCGGGTTGAGTCAACTTTTGACAGCTCTGCATGTATCTATTCCCACAACCATATCCAATTCCATGTAAACTTAAAACCTTGAAACCTCCGCACGTCTAACTTTAAGACATGCACCTTGAATCAACACTATTCTTAGGGGTCGTTTGGTTGGATCATTTGAAATGGATTGGAATGAAGTTAGAATCCATTTCATCTAGTTTTTTGTTTGGTTAAGGTTTTTAGTAATGGAATCTCATACCCAAGGGCTTCTAACTCCCCCCATACCCACCCCTCCCTCCCTCCTTAAAAATTCACAATCCATTCAATTAATGAAGGATAAAATTCATTCTAACAAAAAAACCAAACAACTTTGGAGAAGTATGAGTTTTAGTATCCATAACTTTATAGTATAAGATTTCATACCAATCCACTCCAACTTGATGAACCAAACACCCCCTTAATAACACATTAACATACTAGCACAATGGCACTACTAGTAATTATACCTAGAGGTGGTGCGTGTACATGCATGTAGTGCTATTGCGCTTGTACACTCTTCACCAACACGACTATGATTTAGAGATTAGATCCATGAAGATTCCAAATGGAAATAACATAAAGATTAGAAATTTAAGATCTCGCACAAATGTAAAGAGTGTTTGAATTGTCATAAGTCAATGTCAACAAAAAGAAAGAAGAAAGGATATTATTTTTAATTGCAACAATTCTCATTTAAAAGCTTACCAATGTATAAATTCAATCATTAAAATCTTTTAATAAATATGTTAAAATTATACCTCCTCTAATTTTTTATACTTACAACACTTTTCTATTCACATTAGTCATATTTCAATCATTAATATCTTCAATTACTCATATGTAAAAATTATAAACATATAAAATTAAAACAATATGAATTGAGATAAATCTAACATGATCCAAATGACTATATTTTTGTTTAGCTATAGATATCAAAATAATCAAAGTGAAACATATAAATAATATAAAGTCAAACGGTTACAAGTATATATAAAAAAAAAAAGGAAGTATAAATTTGATATTATGAAAGTGTAAGTCAAGATGAATTATACTTGTATGTGACAATATTTTTCCTCAACTATCAATCATCAATTCATCATTCTAGTCAAAGTGCTATAAGTAGTAAAACAAAGGAATAATACTTTAAGAAATGAATGGTCTAAATTACTACATGCAACCTAGTATTTGAAAGGAAAAAAATTAGGATCTTCAACCCATAAAAAAAACACAATGCCCAAATCCACAAATCCACTAATATAGAAAACAATAAATTCAATAAATAATTTTATTAAATAAAAAAAAATTAATAAAAAAAATTTAAAAATAAAAATAAAATGCTCATACCTCTTCTTCCAATGGAGGAACCCAATTTCCATGAACCCACTCTCTATGGAGCCGCAAATCAGCATCTTTGAACTCAGTTTGCTCTCTTGTAGGTCTAAAATAGACAGAGTATTGACCACCTTGAAGAACTTGAGTGATGACACCTTCCCACCACCCATCATTGTATGAAACATCAACTTCATCATTCAATTCATAAACCCTTTTGCTTTCTCTTGGTGGGATTGGCCTAATTTGTACCAAATCGACCTTCTCTTTTAGAGGGGTTGATTCATCTTCAGCCAACAATGTCTCATATTCCACCATTACTTTCTTGTCATTTTTTGCAGGTGTTTTTACCACTGTTCCTGAGAACCACGCCCCTCTAAAACCATCTTCATCAATGCTGATTTCAACCTTTGTGCCCTTTTTAAATTGGAAATTAGCCATGCTTTTATGAATCTTGATTTTTGTTTCTTTATGATAAAAACGGGGGAAACCAAGTGAATTGAAGGGAAAGTTGATTTTTATCTTTATTTTTTTTTTTATTTTTTTAGTGGGAATGTTGATGGATATGTGATGGTATGGAGTTGTGAGGTGAGAAAGAGAAACAATTGGAGGGAGAAGAGAGGAGTTGAGGAAGGTAGGAATTAGGGATAAATTTAGGGTTTTAAAAGTTGATTTTATATAGATGTGATAAAAAATTGTGTTGGGTCGGACTTTTATATATAGACTTTGTTTTCAAACCCACAAAATAATGTCGAGCTTATAAGGCCCAAGGTGGCTTTTTGGGCTGTTATTGGATTATGCTCGAGTTTTAAACTAAAACGGTTACAAGGCTTATTTAAACCCGCATTTTTTCTAGGTCGAACCATTGATGAACAACTCTACTTTGTATTTGAAAATGTTTAAATTCAATGACTTGATTTGATCTGGTTTGAATCGATTATAGATATAGATACAATTAAACTAATTGTATTATTTTTTTTTTCCTATAAAATCTAGTTGATGGATCTAGATGTAACTAGATTCATCAAATTGAATGATTTTTTACTCAAAAAGAGAAGATATTGAATGATTTAGGATTCATGGTGAGGCGGATATAATTTAATATTTCCTCCGTCTTAGAATATCTGGAACGTTGAGATGGACACGTAATTTAAGTAAAGTTGAGTGCGACCATTTAATACATTTATTTATTGTAAAAATATTCCTTTTGATTTTTTTATGTGGCTGGAATTAATCCTCAAAAATCAGTGTGCCATGAAAGAGTAGAAGAAAATGGTTTTAAAAAATGGTCACATGCAATATTTAACAACTTGTTAATTTTTCTGGGATGAACGAAACTATGAACTATGCTGGGATAGAGGGAGTGTAAGCTTTTGAATATCTCAACTTTTGAAATTTAGATATTGTATAGGTTTGACATTTTATAAGGAGTGTAAATTTATGAAAATTTCACGCAAAGTATTGGACATATCTATTTGTTTTTTGGTGGATTGACTCATGGTGAAAAGAATCTTTATGACATAGTTAATTTGTTTACTTTATCTAACTCTTCTATCATTTTGGAATTTATTTAAATTTTTATCTATTTAAATCGGAATGAGAGGGGATTTGAACCTGCAATCTATCGTACAAATACCTTCGATGCTTTCCAGGATAAGACCTCGTTAGTTTAACAATTATTTTGTAAATATTCATTGTCAACATGTTATAGTTTGTTTTAATGTAATTGTTCATGATATACTGGTTTCTAATGGGCTATGGTGTGTTTCTTGGTTTTACATTGAAAGGGATTGTTGAGAGGGCACCAGAGATCTTCTCAGAGATTAAATTATATGTATTGATTTAAAATGAGTTCACTTTTACTAGGGTACTATGAGTGTATAGTAGATAATGATCAGCACCATTTCAATCACATGGTGAGAGAGAACAATATGGAACCAAATGTAAAAAAACTATGGATGCATGGTAGACCTCCTTGGATAGGCAAGTTCTCTACAAAACAGAGCAATTTGTATGCCTACGAAAACTGAAGTCACCACTTCAGGTGCACTGCTTGGTGCTTGTCAAAAATACGGTCACAACATTATAGGATAGCGGATTGGAAGGAAGCTCATTGCCTCGAAAGGTGATTGGACTGATGTACTTGAGATCTGGCACAAAAAGGGGTAATGTGGAGCAGAAAATACTCCAAAGTGGGTCTTTATTGAGGGCAGTGGCTGTGCTTGAGTTTTTAGGCAAATATTTGGTCACATCTTGGGACTAGCAAGATTAAAAAGTGAGTGAATTTGAGGATTAAATCAAACTGATTTGCATTAGCAAATACAAGTAGTTGAATAACAGAAACCTCAATCAGGCACATAATGTTACACAAGAATAAAGAATGTAACCTAGTATACTTTTCTGTATTTCTTTGTTTCAGGTCTAAAATATTTGGTTAGAAACAAAAATCTTCACTTTCAGTTGAAAAGTCCTCGCAACTGACTTGTGACTTGGGTTTTATGCTTCCTCGTTCAAAATTTCTATAATTCTCTATTCCGCCAGTCATTCCAAGACTATTTGCTATGAGATTACCAATCTTTTCTCCCACAATAAAGATGAAATCCATATACAAGTATAAGCTTCCTGTTTGTATTAACTGATGCACCAGCTGACATCTTAACTGCTTGACTTGTGAAATTATGATTTGGCAGCCAGAAATGAGATTGCCAGAGCATCCACCATATACCGGTGAAGCCAACCAACAGAAAGGATATATAATTGATGCCAGCAAGAAAAGTTGCTAAGAACGAAGCTTAATGAATGTTGAGCATTCTCTTATCCGATTCGCCCAAGCTTCATCAAGTCAAGTACCCTATGAACCTTTATCTAAAAGACTGTCAGTTACTGAAAATGTGATAGAAATATGCTCTTCACTATGTCCCAACTTCTAGGTCATGTAAAGAATAGTTTAGATCAGGAACATAGCCAACTGCTTCCATATGCAGAATCATCATGCTCAAAACCTCATAGACCATCTCAGTTTGATGTCCTAACTTATCCCCAACCGCAAAGCTGTAGACATCACTATTTAATTCAATCCAACTGCAACCAGGCTCTTTCCTGCCTCCTAATCCTTTCATTAATTTCCTCATTTTCGCAAAATCTTTCCATTCCCCTTCTGATGCATACAAATTTGATAACATCAGGAAAGTCCTAGCCATGTCCGGCCTTGCCTCTAACATGAATTGGGCAGCCAACTTGCCCAAATTTGGAAGCTTATGTGCCTTACAAGATCCAAGGAGTGCCCCCCAAACTGAGTCGTCAGGATCTACTGGCATATTTTTAATCAGTTCATAAGCTGCTTCAACTTTCCCAGCACGCCCCAGTAAATCCACCACACATCCGTATATATCCTGATCTGGAACCATATTATACTCTGTCACCATAGAGTTAAAACACCTAAGACCTTCAATTACAAGGCCAGCATGGCTGCAAGCACTTAATACTGCCATGAACGCGACTCTGTCAGGCCGTATGCCCGATCTGATCATTTCATTGAACAACTTGACAGCTTCCTCTCCATAACCATGCACTCCGTAAGCAATCATCATAGAAGTCCAAGAGACCAAATCTTTTAAGGACTGGAAATCAAATATTTTCCTAGAGTCACTAATGCTTCCACATTTTGCATACATGTCTATGAGGGAATTCGCAAGTGCCATATTCCTATCAAGGCCTCTTCGAAGAATATTCGCATGAATTTGCTGCCCACAATTCAAAAGTGATAAATCAGCACAAGCTGCTACTACACTAGTGAATGTGAAGCAATTGGGAGCAAAACCTTGTGACTCCATTAAGGTAAATACAGAGAGACACTTGGTGGAATTTGATCTTTTGTAGCCAGCAATCAAAGTGTTCCAAGTGATTAAATCCTTTTGAGACATCTCAATGAAGCATTGACTAGCTTCAGATAGACACTGACACCAACAATACATGTCTATAATGGAATTCATGACAGGGAGACTAGAATTAAGTCCATATTTAACAAGTGTAGCATGTAATTGCACACCGTGGGAACTTGCTCTAGTTAAAGCACAAGCTTTAACAGCAATTGAGAAACTAAAGGCGCTTTGCTCAGCTCCCTCCTGTTAAAACTAAAACAGCATTAGGAAGTAGCACAACCCATTTAGGAAAATAAATTATGTGGCATTTTAGGAAGCAATTAATTCACAATACCACTCTTCCCCGGAAAGTCTGCCACATTCAAATTACAGTTATGATTGTAGGATAGAATTAACTAAAAGGTTCACATGTTCCAAAAGGTTCCAGTATCATACTAACGATTATCATTCATGTTATGCTAGTGGGTAGTTACACTTCCGTATCCTCAAATAGACTCTTAGATACTAACAAAGATGATTGAACTCTTGGCTCAGCCAAATTAACTAACCAATCCAAAACACAAGCATTGCACTATGGGAGCAGCAAATTGAAAACAAAAAAAGATATCACCCCATAATATGAGCTTTTAGATACTTACAGATAACATCTGCTGAAAAGCTCTTAATCCACCATATCCATCACCTCGATGAGTGTATCCTGCAATCAAAGTTGTCCATGAAACACCATTTTTCGGATAGACATCGCGAAAAACCATGCAAGCTTCATTCATAGTATTACAGCATGTAGCATAAACATCCATCAAAGAATTATCAACATAAATAGAACCCACCAAACCATGCTTAATAGCAAGTCCATGAACTAAAGTCCCACAAGAATAACACTTCATCCCTTTACAACACTTTAACACACTAGAGACGGTAAAGGCGTTCGGCTTAACCCCTTCCTTCAACATCTCATTAAACACAGTCCAAGCTAACGAGTCATAGTTACAGGATGTATAACCAGCTATCATGGTTGTCCAAGCAACAACATCTCTTTCAGGCATTTCGTCGAACAGTTTGCGTGCATCCTTGATTAAACCCTTGTCAAAGTATGATTTGATGAGATTAGTAGCTAAAAAAGATGGGTTTTTGGGTGAGAATGATGGGTTACATTGGGTCCATTGAAGGGCATTGAGCACCATTGATGGGATTGGACGAATGTAAGGGGTTGATAGTTTGATAGTGTTCATCTTTTTTGTGCAACATCTGATTTTAAAACCCAGAAAACCAATACAATTAGTATTGATTCTAATTTTTTGAAGTCTGGTTTGTAAAGAATTTGCGCCAAGGTGTAGGCGTCTCAAATTTAGAGTTACCTGTCCAAGCGTTATTCAAGTATATTTCATGTAAGAAACTAAGAAAAATTTAGATTAGTGCTACTGCGTAAATACTAAATACTGTATTTTTTTTTACAAAGAATAAAATAAATAATACCAAGTATGTTGTTAGAAAGCTATTGAAATCTGCTTTCTAAATCAATTAGAATCAGGTTTAAATAGTTTGTATAATAAAAGATATGTCCGAAATAGTGGGACGGTGTTAGTTTTGGATAGAGTTTCGTATTTGTCTTATATCTTTTTCGTTATAGCTCGAAATTAATATATCATTACTTATATCATTTAATAATTTCTCATTTTTATCTTACCCCGTTATCCTTCTTGTCATTTATCCCTCATACAAAACACCACATAATGATGCGTTCGATTGTTAGAAATAAATGGTGGTAATGGTAATGATTTCATAAGTAATACGGTGTAACTTTGTAAAGAATGTTTCATGTCAATGTCCATGATAATGCTAATTCTTCTATAAGTACCTCATTTTCTTCACAAATTTTCATTATCATCCATTACTACATACATGTGGTATTGTGGTGATGAAAATTTGTAATAAAAACAAATGTTTAGGGGTAGAGTTCCATTGATATAGTAAAGACCATAGGATATCTTTGCAAAATTATATACAAATAATACTTGTACACACAAATCCACAATTATAACCTCTACTATAAACTACTTCATACAAACAATATCTGAACTTACAATTTACTGATACTGTCAAATTTTACAAACAAGAGTAGCTTTTAAACAAAAAAAACTTAAACTGAGGAGCAAGAAATCAGAAATGTTTGTATAAATTTCGTCCTATTTTTCTCTGTAAGATCACCCAAACTGGGTCAGTAATCATCAGTCACAGTATATACAAAAATATGGCCAGAGCTTCCTCAATGCTCTAGCAATCGAGCCAACTTTCCCATTAGCTAAATAATGACTTAAGGAAGCTACTGATTGACAAATTTCTGTGAGGGACAAAAAAAAACAACCCCCATTTCTCTAGCTAAGAAATACGTAGTATGTACTATACAATGTCTTTTTTTCAAAGGTATATCTGCCTCCAAAAATTCTAGATAATATGAGACTTTGCAGCCCAACGAGAGCACTTTTTGCGGCCACTTTTGGTTAACCCACAAACACAAATCTCCAGAAGCTCATAATCCTCATCCCAATAAAGCAAGGATGCCATATGTGGATTCTGCAGCATCATTTTGGAAGCGAGGAACCCAGCAATTGTCCAGGTTTGGTAAAGCCGTGCTTGCTTCCCAACAAACTTTCCAAAACGGGTATCGTAATATTCAGGCCATCGATCAGCAGGAAGCTGCTTTTCTGCCATTTCAACTGCCTTCTCTGCCAAATCTGTCCGGCCCATTTTGATACATGCCAATGTAAACTGAAATAAGATAGCAAAAGGTAAGATGGTTCATTCGAAAAGCCATACATATGATTCTGCATTTACAGACAGATGTTAATATCCCAACTTCGTAATAAGAAAGTTCCTAATAATATCTCAAATAGTAAGATATAACAAGCTTGGTGGGGAGAAGAAATTCCCCATATCTTAGGTGCTGGAGAAATTAGTACAAGATATTAAGTGATGCACTGAGGGAGGCATTCATGTAATAAAAAAATTAGTGAGCAATCAGAGTACAGACCAAGTCTCTTTCAATGGAAATCCATCACAATCAAAGACTGATACTTTGAATATTAACTAACGATGGCCTATCCAACATCAAATATACTGTCAATGCACTCTCAGGACAATATAAGGAAACACAGGTTGAACAAAACACTCATTTCAACAATTGTGAGTATTCCTCTCCATGGCAGCAATCTACCATAGCAACAGCCCACAATTGATCCAGTAACACAAAAGTACCACAATGTTTAACAATTCAACAACAAACATGTGAATGTGATTGCACTAAGACACAATGGCAATAAAATATTACACGACAACCACCTTCACGAGTCCATAGTCAAGTTGAGTAACATATACATAATTGATAATACCAATACCAATACCAACAACAAAATGTTCTGGGATCAGATAACATGAACAGATACAGGGTAAAAAAATTTGAGAACAAACACGAGTATTTTCCAGCTGTTTATCCTTAACCAAATTGGCCTTAATGAGTCAATGCAAGGACTGTAGTAGCAGAAACCCTAATCTGCTGCAGGGAAAGCAGGTAACAAATACACTTATCTACCATGTTCACATGGCCAAAAGGATGCATTGTCGATGGTTAAATATTTTGCTTTAATAAAAAAAATAAAAAATAAAAAAATAAAAAACAAAGATGTTGTTCAAGCCTACCTGCCATAGAAGCGTAGGCCAAGTTCCACCATTGTGATATGACCAAGGGCTGTGAGAACAAGATATCAATTCATGTCACTAGATAACCAAAGATTATAAGACACTCAAAATCAGAGAGATAGTTCAAAGAAACTCACGTATTCTTTGGGTCACTGCCTGTAATTATACGCCATTCCTCATTCTCCACAGCAGGATAACATATCTTTAGAGGCATCTGCCCAATAAAGTCATCCCACTTGGCTTCAATCAGGTTCAAAATTGCTTGATTCTGTTTTGGAGTACCCATGGAAGAAACGATACTCCAAAGATTTCCAAGTGTGAAGAATCGAAAATCCATGTGAGCTGGCTGAAGGTTACCAAGCATATATCCACCTTCACTTGGAATCCAATCCATCAACCAATGAGGGATTTGTTCAGGGTAAATGTTGAACTTGTTAATAGCATCCATGGAATATTCTTCTGTTTTATACCGGTAAATTTCATTGATCTTTTTCATGTCTACCCAATAGTATTCTCGGATATGAAAAGAGAGGGCACTCAGTCTATTATTGACAGCCCTGATGAGATTCTTAGATCCTTCATCTTCAACTAGCATCTCACGGGAACAGCGCAAGGCTGAGTAAAATAATGCCTATTAAAACAAAATCATGGATTACAAATTAGAAATGATTTCATTACATCCAAAACATCAACAATGATGATGCTGGTGAAAATTAAAAAAGAAACCTACTATTCATAGTTAAAAATGCAAAATGTGTAGAATGAGAAAATATTTAGGCTAGAAGAAAGTCAAGTAGTTGAGTTCCTGCACCTCCAGAGTCCAGACCTCCAGCCAGTTCAAGATTAGACCGGGTTTCATAGTTGCAAAAGTACTTATGACTGAGCCTTAGATCGTAGTTCTCCTACTATATTACCCATGGCTATACTAAAAATTGGGTTAGGATAAGGTAAACTACTATCCCTTCAGCCTTCTACGTTAACACCCCTCCATCACTTAAATAATGTCACATCACTTAATTAAATGTGACTATCAAGGTTCTATGTCATAGAAATTCCAGATACTACTCCCTCCGTTTCTAAATGTTTTTTACATTTCCATTTAGGGTGTTCCTTTTTATTCTTTACATTTAGTATCTTTCCTATTTTAGTCATAAAATTTGGACAAAATTACCCTTGTTTTATAATTTTTTTACTCAAAAGTCCTTACTTTTCCATGTGCTATTGTACTTTTTGTACTATTTTAATAGTTTTTCAACACTTATTATTACTCTCTCTCTCCTCTCTCCTCTAATTTCTTCACCCTACATGCTCAACATTGTATTTTTCAATAAAATTGTACTTTCAATCATTGAAATATTCCAATATACCTCAACTTTACACAATTTCTTAATAACCGCGCATAATTCCAAACGTAAAAAAATTAGGGAATGGAGGGAGTACTAATTAAAATATTAACGGCTAATTCTGTACAAAGAGGTCCTCCTCAAAGTTGAGCTTCAAACAGCTTTTAAAAAATCTGGGTAGCTAATCATAACAAATTCCAGAAGAATACCTAAATGTGGCTACAAACTATGAGCATGTCAGCCAAATTTGGAATATGACAATAGAAAAACTTCAATGCAAACAAAGAAATATGAACTTACTTGAATCTCAAGGGGATGCCCATGTATACCCATTCGTCGATCTATCATGCAAGATCCATCAGTGACCAGAAGTGTAGGAAACATATCAAACCCATCGCTTAAGCACAAATTTAAGATCAATCTGATTCCAGTCTGGACATCCACCCTCTCTTGCAGTGCGAAATCACCAGTGAGCTTTCCATAAGCCCTTAGTAAGATGATCCACCATAATCCTAGCAACATTACCAAAAACAAATAAATTCAAATCCAAAGACAACTATCGTCTCACAAGTTTAAAGCCTTAAAAGTCCTGATATTACCAAGTTTAACAGGAGATTTGAAGTGCTAGCTTAGGTAAGAACATAAGATTGACCATGAGTGTAATACTTCTCAGTCTAAAGACTTGCACTTTGTATTCAAAAATGATAATACGTATAAGTTCTTACCAGAATCAACTGGCGCAACACGACCAATAGCAGATTCACCAAAATCAGGATCTAAAACCTCTTCAAATTTCCCACTACTATCATCAAGTGGTACAGTCCTAACTTTGAAGCTTGCAGGCATCAACCCTTGTCCTGGGCTGTAGCAGTCAACAGTTTTCTCCCAACTCTGAGCACAGTCAGCGGGTATAACCATCAGAACAAGTATTGCATTTAATAACTGGTTTATTTCAAGGTATATAGGAAAACCAAATAAACACCAGGTTATAAAGCCCTTTCATAAGTGATCAACAATAGTCATACTGTGCATGAGGAAAGCATAAATATTGTACATTCAATTATTACTTTTTGGATATCACACATTTGCTGTTGGATTCAATAACATAATTATAATCAAAATCCTATAGAAAGGACAAAGCTTTAGAATCATGATTGTGAACATTATAATTAATATCTATCAGAAGCTGCCAACCCCCCCTGAGAGTACCACTGCCCCCAATACCCCTATATTCACAATCTTCCTCTGCTATCCCCGTTATTTCTAGACTCAAGAGTACAGATAAAATGTTTCGTTGTTCCCAAAAATCAACATGTTCAAAGTCTTCAAACAACCATTACGATAAATATGCAAGTAGAAACAATATTTAAAGATACAGATTAAGTATAGAGCACTTTGAATATTATAAACATAAAACAGATTCAGAATCACCTGCAGCTGCAAAGTATAGAGGAGGAAATTCTTGACAATCTCCCCTTCTCCCTTCATCAAGAAAGCGAGTGCTGAGGGGACAAAATCACGAAGAAACACCTGATCATAATTAAGCGGCGTTTTGTCATTTGGATCATTTGCAGCCACCGTCCCAACTGGGCTGTTGCAATAAGTGACAATGGAATTCCGCAGCAGCCTCCAAGCCTCTTTCTCAATCTCCGACTCCTCTGTCTTTCGACTTTCAACCCTTAAATCCTCATCACTCTCATCCTCAACAGTTTTTTCAATAACATCCCCTTGTTCCCCCTTTAAAATTTCTTCATCCTCAGTTGTTTTCTCAACCACAAACGGCTTAACATTCACCCCTCCCTTCAGATAAACACTCTCAAAATTCTTATCATTCACCCCGGGTTCAACCGATGTCGAATAATCCCTCACATCAGAGGAATCACATCCAACCAAAAACCTATTTCTACCTAATCCAACCATAAAACAAATCCTAGATTGCCCAAAACTTGGCTGATTTGAGCATAAATTTTTCTGGGTATGATGAAATTCACTTCGAAATCCAAGTAATTGAAATGGGTAGCTATGAATTTTGCGATTATAATCAAAAACCTTGAATTTCAACAAATCCCCACTTGGCAAATGTGGGCAAATTAGGGGTTGTTGAGCAAAACTCCTTAGATTTCTACATTTTGATAGGATCCTACAACTAGGTTTCATCTTCCCAAATAAGAAACAATTATTTCAAATAAGCAAGATAATAACCAACTAAATTCAGATTTTATGATAATATAAGAAATGATTCATACATATGAATTATGTAATAATAAAATTTGAAGCAACTTAAATTATGCTAATTCAAGCAATTTATTCGAAACAAAAAATCAGATGAATAATTAGAACTTACTGGGAAGAATAATCTGCGAATTAAGGCAAATGGGTAAAAAAAATGTCCGAAAATTTGGAGAGAGAAAATGAATTAAAGGCTGCGGATTTATAGACAACTCCTAATGTTAGGGAAGAAAAAAAAAAAAAAAAGCGTCGAATTTATTTAATTTTGGTTTTCTCGACGCCGTAATTTAATTTCCCACTATTTTTCATTGAAATTGACGGATTAAAAAATGGATAATGTAGATATTAATAATATTATCCGTTAACGTGTCATGTAAGAATTGAGTTTATTCGAGGTTTACGAGCCATTGTTATGAAGCCACGTTTGTGTTATGCTATTCGTCTTTTCATAAGGCTACTTTAATTTGCAAGTTGCCATATAGAAAAATAAAAATCTTACTCCAATGGAGCAAAGTATTTTTCGTAAGAGATAATGTCCATATATTCATCTAATCCAAAATTATAAACTGTAAATTTTTAATTTAATTTCTACGAGAACAAGTTCAATGAAAAAAAAAAATCAAGCAATTTAGGGTATGTTCACATTTACTGAACTGATCTGAATTGAACTAAACTGAACTGATTGGAGCTGAACTGAACTGAACTTATTGGAGCTGAACTAAACTGAGCTGAAATGAATATTTTATGAGTGAGAGAAATTAGAAGCTGAACTGATTGGAGCTGAACTGAACAGAAATTAAGTAAATGTGAACAGACCCTTAGTTAGAATGATTCGGGATTTCAAGGCATAGCTAATCCTAGACGTGAACAAATTTTGGGACGGGCTAGACCTAAACGTCAAATCTTATGCCCAAACCTACAAAAAAGTTGCAAGCTTGTCGGGCCAAAGCAAGCTTTTCGAGCCGGGTTAGGATTTATAACTTAAAATTTGTTTTTAGATATGCTCAAACCCCGCACTTTTTTGGGACGAATCGATTAGAGTTAGTGGGACGAGCCATAGTTGATCACCTCTAGCTAGCTTATCCTACAATAGTTTCGCAAAGCATATGAGTCAATTCCAATAAAGAGACTCAAATCGACTCAACCTCGTTATCTAATCCGTTATTTAATCCACCCCATATTATTAGCTAACCAATTCATGACCCTGTTTTCTTCTATAGAAAATGGAGTACTTCAAGTTCCTAATTTAGATTTCGTGCCATTAGGCAATATTGATAGACAATAATCCAATATGCATTTCCTCCCTTGCAAGGCTAGTACAACATCTAGATTTTCTATACAATTTAAAAGCATCCTCATTCACATAACTAAATCTATCATAGGTAATGTGTCTCAACTCAACTTTGAATATAAAGGTGTATACACATTAGTCTACCTATATAATTCCTAATCTGTGTCAAAAATATATAATCCCTAATTAAACCACTCCCATTTGTTGGACTAGGCGTCCCCTTAGCAGTTTTATTAAAGTTCAAGGCAACTCATCCGGTCATTCCATAGGTTGAACCTCTCACTTAATAAAATTGGCCTAACCTAGCCAAACGGTGGCAATAGTCCATGCATATACATCATCTTTGAAATTTGGCACAACCCGACATGAGTATTAGCTAGTTGGCTTGCCATTTTTAACCAATTTACTAAGATTTTAAATTTTTAAGGAACTTGTTATTTGCTAACACGAGTTACACGACATGACACAATATGAGACGAATTTTCATTGGTTCATTCCCGACACGGCCCGGTTAAACCCGAGGCAGGCTTAATTACTTTGTGCTTTAATCTATAATCCGTAGTAGTCTCTTGAAACAACACAAAGTAGGAAAGATAGTCCCAAGTAGATAACGAAGATGGCGTACATCATCATCTTCAAATCACTTCCGGCGCCTTCTCTCTCCTCAAGTTTTCTGCCCACCAACACAATTTCTTCCAGTTCTCAAATGGGGTCCTTTGTTTTCCCACATTTATCTCCTCAATTGAAGCCTTCTTTCAGGAGTTTTTGCAAAGCTCAAACTGTAAGCCTGTTTGCCATCTCCTTATCTTCTTTTTCTTATTCTCTGATTGTGAATTTTTGGTTAATGGGCTGTATTTTTACTTTTAATTATACTTAATAATGCTTTTATTTACTATATGTGCTTTAATTTCTGATTATTTGTGGCCTTTGTGGGTTTTCTTGCACATTATGAACTGCATTTGGTGTCATTGGTGATAGTAATGTATCATGTATGATTTGCTAAATGGGTGTAAGAACAAGAAACCCATTACACTAATTAGTAAAGGAATTACACATAAATCATGAATTGACCATCAAATTAGGTACAATCTGAAATTTTGATTAAGATGGACTTCCCATTTCCCAACATCACGTGGTTTAGTGGTTATGCCCAAAAGATTACAGGAAAAATTATATGTATTAATCAACCTTTGTGCTTCATAACAGTACCTGAATCCGACACCCGTATCCGAGTTCAGCATTACATATTCAGGAGAGGGGGAGAAAGTTTGAACTACATAGATGCAGTTTAGTTACTGAGAGCACCTAAACAAATGTGTTTTTTTGTTTTTTAATAATTTGATCAAATGTCCTGCTTAAAATAGGGAAAAAGACCTTGAGATGCCAGTATGTATTGGTTACTTGGCTTCTTTTTAGATTTTGGAGCTTGTGTTGTGTATTCTGTAGCTTTAATCATGTTGTAATCAAGATATACTTTGAATTGCAGGCAAATTCATCTGTCTACAGAATCGCCGTAAAGAATTGAATTTTGAATGTACTAATATAGACGTACTTTAGGATGCTCTTTGATCGGCTTTCTTGTATTGAACTTTTGAATCATACATTCATACATCTAGAGGTTCATTGCTTTAGCTTCTCCAATGATTCTCATGTATTTCATTAGTAACATTTGCATTATTACTGCAATGGGCTTCTCACAGGACATTTTCTACCATATAATCAGACTCCAACTTTTGCTGTCTCAAGAAGGAATGCAATGGTGGGGCTTTTCTCTGGATGCATTGCTACACAAATTATAACTAACGACCGTGCACAAGCTCTACAATCTGTTGGTTTCAGGGAGTATATAGATTTTTTCGACGGTTATTCCCTAAACTACCCTAAGAATTGGATTCAAGTGAAAGGTGCTGGGGCAGATATTTTCTTCAGGGATCCTTTTGTTCTCGACGAAAATCTTTTTGTGGATATATCTTCACCCTCATCATCTAAGTACAAGAGTGTTGAGGATTTGGGTCCACCAGAAGAAGCTGGGAAGAACATGTTGAAACAATATCTAACAGAGTTCATGTCTACCAGACTTGGTGTTCGACGTGAGTCAAATGTTCTCTCCACATCTTCTAGAGTTGCTGATGATGGGAGGCTCTATTATCAAATTGAAGTAAGGACCTTACTTATCTGAAATGTTGTAGACTGTTATAGTTTCATAGTTTGTTCTGATCATGTGTCTGGCTCACTTTGGCCTTGAACTAAACATTAGATGTTTACTCGAACATGAAATGAATAAGAGTGCTGGAATTTTAGGTTCAGATATTTAGGATTAGTAATAATATTGGCTTTCCTAGCATACTATATCCACTCAGATTCAGCAGAGATGGAAATATGATGTGTGAACTGAATTGGACTTCTGGCCCTAGGTCGTTGGCATTCTTGGCAAGTAGCTAAATAAGCTGAGCATGGCATTATGGTTCTGCCTTGCTTTTGATTGCTATTGTGTTGAGCTTGCAATTGATACTTAATAATGTGATGGTGTCTCCATTCTTGAAACTCTAGCTCGCAGGACAATCCATGTTCTTTCTATATCTATGAGCATGTCTATCATTCTATTACTTTCAGAAATCGTAGTATTGTTGATTTGTTGTCATATTGTAGCTACTGAGTATTTATGAATTTTGATAACTCGTTTGCTTATTTTGTATTGTAATGCCGTAAACAGGTGAACATAAAGTCATATGCCAACAACAATGAGTTGGCTGTGATGCCTCAGGAACGTGTGGTTAGGAAGGAATGGGATCGAAGGTACCTTTCAGTTCTCGGGGTGGAAAACAACAGGCTGTATGAGTTGCGGTTACAAGTACCCGAAGATGTATTCCGAGATGAAGAAAACGACCTTCGTCAAGTAATGGATTCCTTCAGAGTGAACAAGATTACTGCTTAATTTATTGTGTGGAATTCATTTTTTTTTTCTCAATTTTTACACAAAATTCAGTACAACAAAGCAAGTTTTATGATTCCAACTCCATCCATTGTCCTCCATTTCCAATCTCAATGAGCTGTATAATTTTGAATTACATTATTGCAATGTTAAGCAGCTCTTCTGTAATGATCATGAATGCAATTAGTTGTATTTGCTGGTCTATTTTAGCAGTTACTTCTACATTTTAGAATACAGTATCATGGGTAGAGAAAGCAAATCACGTAAAAAGATTTTATTAGCCTCCCGTTGCCATCGGAATTACAGTGGTAATTGGGAAAGGAGAGAAGGATAAAAGGGTCAAGAACTTGAACTTTTAAACCCTGTGAATCTCTATTTCCTTTTGAAGTCTACACACATGATACAAGTATCTCATAATAAATAAATAAATCAACTACTCTTAACACACCCAAAAGCTCTAAAGATGGCTCACACAAATTGATAAACTAACATCATGCAATTCCGAGCACCAAGGTCCAATGAATGATTGAGATACGAGGAGGAAACACCCTGTTTTCTGCAAAGCTTCAAGAAGACAGATGTTCTTTGTACAGTCGTTTCCCAAGGTCTCGGGGCACATATCCAGAGTCTTTTAACTTTATGACCTCACTTGATACTCCCCTGCTCGAGTTAGAGCTTTGAAACCCTTGTAAGGCCGATTTGCTACATTTGACACTTCAAGCTTATCTATTTTCAGGCCAGAAAGAGCAATACCCATGATACGGAACTCTGCTACAAAAGTTGGGAATACATGAAGCTTTTCCAAGCCTGCTTCAAGCATTAATGTTCCTGTCAAAGAAGGGGCTTTGTCCTTCGGTATTCCGCCAATAGACCAAGAACAGACCTGGATTTGTGTACAATGTAAGTTCATGGATCAGTCAAGTCTAACACCTCCCCCCACAGAAGAACAAGAAAGGAAAAAAACAATCCATCATTCATTCAAAGCTAAAAAAGTTAAGGTAATCTTTGTACTGATAGCTGGAATCATATAAAAGTGTTACCTTGTTAGCAAGGATGTCCACTGTTCCATGATTTGCTGTCAGATCTGAAGATACAACACAAGGGGGCAGTTGAAATTTCACTGTTATAGAATCGATTGTCTTTCCAGGGTCATGCCGCATTCCAACCATAACACTAACACGACATGCACCAGAATCTGAAGTGAATTGTGGTTTGACATATATCGGGGTACTCTTCAACTTTTTAACCCTGCAAATAGAAAAGAAGATAAAATATAGTAAAATCTCAAGGAATAAGGAAGCCAAAGCATGGAATAATTGGAAGTATATCTGAGTGTCTATATACTCGCCTGTAACTCATAAGCTTAAACTGTCCATCAGGTGGCACAAAAGACAAGATTTGATGTGACTCCCATGGTCGAAACCGGACACAAGGATGGAACCTTACATCATTTAAGATGCTGGGATTTGCAAATGATAATGTTAAGTCAGGGACACCTGAAAGATGGCAAGTGACTTGAACTTCACCATAAACCTCACACTTTACTAAAACGCCATCCCTGAGCAACATCAGCAAAGAAAATGTAGTTAAGAAAAGTACTTCATAATTGTTAAACTGTATCTAGCTAACGTCAAATTAGCACAAAACAAATTACCAGAAACTAATGCTTTGGCATTGATAACACTTAAAATAGACAAGATGTATAAAGATCATCAATTAGAGAACATCTAAGCCTCAATACACTATTAAATATTCCAGGACAAAGGGGAAGAACAATCAAATAAAAATGCTAACCTATTTATGATTGCATCCATTTCTTCAACGAGGTCAACATACACTTCATTGCTTGAATGCTTAAGTTCTGTTGTCCTCCATGGCACACATGATGCTGTTGCACCTGGGAGCGTGCCGCTAACATTGGAACTATTACCAGTCACAACACTCAATACTTTGCTAATAATGTTTGGTGGTGCAATCATCTCTCTCAGGATGTTAGGCTCTGTTGTCAGAGGAAAGCCATTATCGATCATCTCATCAAGAAGCTGCAAGGCAACTTGAGTCACTTTGAATTCTTGTTAGAAGCAAACCCCAAAGACAGCCTTGTACATATGAATAACACATATTACGGACTGATGGAATAAATTGAAACACAACCTTATATTCAAACTTCAAAGAGGTGATTCATGAAATCTAGCCAAAATGGAACAACTATACATATAGCAGAGGTGATTTACTATATGCCTATACGACAAAATCACATATCAATACTTTGCTACTATTAAAATTGTATATTCAATCTTCATTTCATTGAATCATAAACTCTAGGGTCTAACTTTCAATTATTGGGTGATAGGATCAAGAGAGAAGCATTACGCAAACGTTAAATACTGTCTACTAACTCAGAAATCTCTAAAGCAAAGACACATTAAAAATCTCGGGATGTTAGGCTCTGTTGTCAGAGGAATGGCCTAATTTTACTTTAGGAAATCCTGTAACAAGAGCACATAAGGAAGAGCAGGGGATAATGAAAGAAATAGATTACAGATAACTTAAAATTACCTCATACACAATAACAAAGTTGTCCTTGATTATGTCTTCATTCATTCCTCCAAGATAATCTGAAAGTACATCAGCTGCTCTGCAAAGAAACTAAAGGTGGAACAGTTAAAGTTCAACTGCAATGTTATTTATGCATAAGATGTAAAAAAGTACTAAACAGGGTGCATGATTTAAGTGCTCACAATTTGATGAGATCCAGCATTACCCAGAGTCTGCATATTTTGCCAAAAATTTTCATGTCTGACCACTAAAATTATTCTTTTAAATGGATAAGGAAAATTATCTCCGAACTAGAGAAAAAATGATAACTTAGACTCCCTCTCCTCCCCTTTCCCACCAAATCCTTGCTACTAAATACACTATAAAGTAATCTATCCACCCACGAACAATATAATACTTATTTGTGACCCACAATATTGTGAGTCACCATTATTAGGACTTACTTAACGGGATTGAGGGAGTGTGTAAATTGGTCCGTATGCCTCTCTCTTGCTACTTTAGCGCATTCCTTACAGAATAAGTAGATAGCCATCTCCAACCAATGGCATATATGCAGAATCACATGAGGATTCAATGAGAGTATGAGACTACTCCTAAACCAAGCACACCATTAAGGTTGGAAGGCCTAGGATAATTATATTAACTATGAAGTGCATTTTCTGATATGCCAAGAAGTATCAATCAGACATGTAACCAGTATAGCAATCAGCACATAAGAGCAAACAAAAATACAAGGTAAACACCATCTGTCAAATATTGTGCTAACACCACCAGCACCAAAACTACCCTAAAACCGAGCACATCGTTATGTTTGGAAGAAACTTGGATAATGATATAAACTGTGGGGCGCAACAGTTCCTGTACCTATATAACAGAAGTGTTAACCAAACCTAAGTTGGGAGTATAGCTTGCAGAAGCTTTAATTATTAAGGAGTAACTGTTACCCATATGCTAGAGCTAAAACTAGCAATGCAGTTTCTATTTCTCTTTTAACAAACGCAAATTGAGAAAAACATTGATTGTGATAACTGATTACCCTCCTACAAAAGGGTTAACGGGGCTTCGAGGAGATGAACACTCCTTCTTCGTCATTTGATAGAATTCCTTTTACAAACCTTGACATTGAGTGTCAATTCCAGTTCTACTAAAGGCAACCAAATAACCAACTACTTACTATATAAAAGCATACAAATTACCACACCTAAATTCAGTTCATTCTTTTGAAGTCAAACAAATATAACAGATATAATTTCAGCAATAAACAAATAATCTAACCTCAATTGCCATCAAAGGCGGCATTTCAACTTGAGAACAAGCTAAAAATATGATCCCATCGCGAACAATGTGGAAAATGTAATGTGTTGGTGAAGCAATCACTGATGGAAGCTATCACAAAATTCAAACAATCAACATTAAAATTATTGGGTTATTGGGTTAGATTAAATTGACATGAATTATGTAGAAATTATAATAGATGAAACAAAAATTAGGGTACCTTGGAAGAGGAATCACCTTGAGAATAGGCTTGATCCCAGAACCAATCACAAATAGACCGATCGACCCGGTGGCCGGTCAGCTGTTTTTCCAGCACAACCTCCCTAAATTCACAAGCACGAGAAGAAAAAAATTTAACATGTAATTGAAATTTTCATATGGGTATTATTGAAAACATTGATATTGAAAAAACCCAATTGAAATAAGTATGAAAGATTGAAAATTGTTGAAGGAATTGGGGAATCTGGGATTGTAAAGTTAAAGAATTTTACCCAGAATCTGATAAGATGAATATGCATTGTAGCATGTTTGTGTCTCTTTCTCAGGTTTTCTCTCTCCTGGAGATTTTGATGAGGTTCAATGGTTGATTAGATGTTAAAGCTTCGAACTTTTGCGTTGAGAAATTTAATATGAGTAGAATTTTAGATGTTGAACTTTGTTTGCGAAGATTTTGCTGTCACTTGTGAAAGTTGAGAGGAAGAAAGGACACTCCGTAAGAAAGGAGAAAACTATATTAAAAGATAATTTTTTTTTTAAGAAAAATAAATAAATTTATTATTGTTATTTTTTTTATAATATTTGGAAGGGTTAAGGAAAAAAAGAATTACTAAATTACAAATACAATTACAATTACATTGTCACGCATGGTCATAAATTTGTCAAAGTATTATGGTATAACTAAAACTTGAAATCGAATCTTGTCTACATCATTGTCTTTTGTGACTCTTTTTACATGAAAACTCACATATAAATAGTGATAAATTAGCTTATCTTGAAATAGAGGATGACCAACTTATAGATTAATATATTGACTTGTCCTAATATTTGTAAGGTTAGAGCTTTGATGGGTTTTGATTTTCAATCGATTTGCAAATTGAAACCCTATAAGTTACTCTTAAAAGGTTTGATGGGTTTTGATTGATATATTGACTTGTCCAAGAAGACGATGATTTATGTTTCTATTAAGCTTTGCTCTCCTCACGTGATATTTATTAAAACTTGAATTATTTTTGCTTAATTAAAATTATTTTTGCTCTTCGTATATCAATTAAAACTTATTTTAACATGACCAAACAAATACTTGTGCATGATGGATTAATAATACCCACAAGTCAATTTTTTAACCAATTACTCAGTTATTCATACAAGACTTCTTATGTTGTGCCATACCATTGCCCCCGCATGTCCCATGCTTTGGTGCCTCCTGTCTGGCTAAAATTGTACTGGCTCAGCTTAGCACAATTTCTCTGATGTTCACAAATTCATCCTAAAGCTAAGGTACATTGCACATTGTTTACCCTGTATTTCGTTGTAAGTCCATATAATTATGACGGGTGATTTGAATAAGCTTCCCTACTACAGCATGCAAAGTGCAACTGCGCAATGACAAAAATAAGCCACCAGAAGGAAGTTAGGAATTTAGCAAATTACAAAAGGTTACACAAAAAAAGGTCCATATGAACACCAAAAGTTATATGTCGGAGATTATTGGCACACTTGATACTTGAAAGCCACCTTCTTCATGCTTGGTGAGCTTCTAAATAATAGCTATGTATTTGTCAAAAAAAAAAAAAAAAAGCTATGTAAAACAAAATTGCAGGAGAATATTAGGTCTATTAGACAAGCCTCACGAGCACACAGGCACCAGAGACGGGAACTAGTTCTGAGATGAATGTGGCATAAGGTCATTGCACAGAGTAATGGAGAGTTGGGGGGGGGGGGTATTAGACAATCTTTCAGAGAATAGGAAAAAAAGATTCAAGTATCTAATTTAGTTGTTTATACAAAATCATTATGAATTCACGAAATTCGAGCTGCATCTTTACAGAAAATAGACACCAAAAATGAATTCAGTCAAGACTAAGTTGATCAGCAGCTGGCCCTGACAAATTCTTCAAGTATTCAGCTTTGAATATCTTCTACAGTTTGACATGTATGCATAAATCACACGTACGTCAATTTCCTGCTTCACACAACACTGAAGGCTGATTGTATAGTGGATGTAAACTGAGAAGTTAGTGTCTGGGTGGCAAATTGTTGGAATTGCTTCTTGGCATCTGCACAGAAGACAGAAAATCTCTCAGTGAACCAATCTAATTTTAAAATAACACAGCAAAGAATAAGGAAATCCAGACAAAGAGGGTTGAATCTTGAGGATAATACTAAAGAAACGATAGCATGGCCATGAAAAAATTCAAACAACAAAGTTTAGAACTGGAATGTATCAACTGTTTGTATCACAACCAGATTATTATCCATATCCAATTTCACAAGGTTGTTCTTGAGGACTCGCAATATAATCACACCATTTAAAAAACAGAACATAGTTCCACATGCTTTCCCAAAAATAATCCACTATTTCCTAGATAAGAGATAGTGCAGTTAGTTCAATCAGGCAATGAAGACCAACAATCTATCACCAAACCACTTAAACCCCTAAATACAATCACCTACATGGTTGCAATGTGAAGGAAGCTTGAAAGATAAAATCTGCATATTGTAAACCCAGGCAGTAAAAGTGTACTATGCCACCAAAACTTTTAGTTACTTGCTAAATGATAGTAGCACATAAACCTATCAACACAGAACGACTTTCTAAACAGGTCAAAGTAGATACGATAAGTTAATCTCTGAGATAGCATTTCTAATAAGAACAGAAAAAAGAAACTAACACTAACACACTAGGTGCTGTGTACTTCCCCCGGGATCCAAATCTAGAGGATGTTTCCAAGGCTGGAGCTAGCTAAAACCTAACAAATACAACCTCCTCTACACATGGAGACAAAGATCCCCACCCCTAATCTGATAATTCTTAAAATACTGATTAAGTTATACAGGACTTGAATCACACAACTATCCTTCAATACCTGCCGTCATTATCTGTGCACATATCAGAGCAATACCTCGCTGTGTGAAAAAATGATGTACGGAAGCCAAATTTGAAGGCTATACATGAAATCGAAGCAATTTAGGAGGTGTCGGGATCCGGTGTCAGAATGAAATTCTACGGGATGCATCCCGGGGTCATATGATGTTGTTTCAACCCATAAACGACCATAAGTCAACTACATAGAGGCCCCGTGGAAGCTTATAGGCAGTACAAGAGGCGTGTATGAAATCGGGTAAATTGGATGCTTAAAGGCAACTTGGATGGTTCCACCCTCCAAATTGGACTCTCGGAGGATATTAGGTTCTATAGGAAGCTTCTCGACAAATTTTATTTCCGGGTAAAAAAAAGTCGAAAATTTGCAAAATTGAAGGCTACAATCCAGTTTTTTTTGGCAATTTTGGAGGTTTCGGGACACAATGTCGAAAAGTCTCGAGATAGTAGGGGATACATCACGTGGTCATATAATGTCATTTAGTACCATATATGATCATTATATGTTGTTATAAATGTCCGTGGTATTCTCGAGTTTATGAAATCAGTGCAATTTGCAAACGGGTAAATCAATAATTTAAAGGCATATTGGATGGTCTTACCGACCCAAATGGACTCCCGTTGTGTATTAGGGTCCATGGAAAACATCTTGGCAATTTTCGTTTCTGGGTCTAAAAAAATGAAAAATTGTCCAAAATTGAAGGCTATGATACACGATTTTGGGTCAATTTTTGATATTTTTCAAAAAATGAACTGAATGCATGGGGTGACTCCTGAGATCATATAAGATGATTACGTGGCCAATCTTATTATTGCTTATGCGGGACATTCCTAGAGTACTTGGTGAAACTTGAGCCCATGATCAGCTCGAGCATGCCATGGCCTAGTGTCACGGTCCGAGAGTTTTGACACCGGATCGTGCGGCGCGCGCTTGTCTATTAGTGACAAGGACGCAAGCCTAGAGTAAGGGAGGTTCGTAAGCACACAGCAACATGGACCAAGGTATCTTAAGAAAGCACTCGTCAACCACGGCCCACGGGTGCTAAGTCGGGGCTTGTGACGGCCGATACTTCGAAGCGGGAACAAGCGGAACCGACTAGATGAGGGCGTCTTTTGAGGGTCTATTGGTTTGGTGGGGATGCTTTAAAACAAGGTTAGCACAATATCTATAAAGGCTTAAACAACACACAAGTCTTAAAGCAATAGCAACGGGGTAGAGAGCTTAGATTGAATAACCATTCGCTCCCTAAAGAGCTTTATATTGCATTAGTAGAGAATTACAAGTGAACGTTGAAATGACAGTAACACAATAATTCTCCCTAGAGCCTAGAAAATAAAAAGAAAGACTAAAGAGACATTACATAAGGGAAAATACAAGGAAAATAAAGAAGAATACATAATAAAGAGGTTGGATTCTAACATCTAGACATGGGCTCTACTGCCCAAAGGCAAGGCATACCATGGCCTAGCACAAGAAGCATGGCACAACTGCACGAGGCATGAGCACAAGGCATGGGATATGGGCACAAGGCAATAAAAATAAGAACACCTCTATAAAATTTCTACTTTTGGCAATAAAGGGTATTGTCATAGCTTGCTAAGAAAGGCCAAATAAAGGCATCTTAATACATGACAACAAGGGGTGTGCTAAGGCGCTGAGGTAGTAAGGTATGAATAAAATATCACTATGTAGTCTCGAAAATGAGTTTAGAATTATAAAATATCACTATGTAGTCTCGAAAATGAGTTTGGTCACATTATATGGCTATTTTGGATTTATGATGTAGAGGTAGTCAAGGGTTGCAAAAGATGGTTCCAATCACCTAACTTGACATCTCAAGGTCTTATTAAGGAATCAAGAATCTTTCATTAGGTTACCAAATCCAAACTCACCTATTATCATTGTTGATGCATGCATAAGTATTGCCTTAGTGGCATTAACCTCAACTCTAGTCTCATCCACCAATACATTATCATTTTAAAGCAACATACTAATGTTTCTCATCTTGGATAGGTCTTGTTAGTTCATCCAAAATTGTTGCAAAGAGGAAATGATTCAATGCCAACCCTTGTTGCAATCCAATCATACTACAGAAGTCTTTTGTTACCCCACCACAAGTTTTTACATTTTGATTTATAAACAAAAGCATGTAAACAATGCCCCTCATCACCAACTAAGCAACCCTTCCATTCCACAATACAACAGACCCCACAAGATCCCAGTGTCAAATATCCGTTCCCATATTTTCCCAAGCTTATCCTAAATTTTGGATTTTCCACCTATTACCCCTTTCCTACCCTATTATTGTCCATAGTGTCACCTCAAAGGGACCAATTGCTCCCTCTTTACACCATTAATTAAATCCCAAAACCATGACAACGTCAACTGTGGAACCTAATAACCTCTCGTTCATAGGGTGCACCCTCTATAATAGTTATTTGGATCATTTTTTATTAAGTCACATGCAACAGCCTCAATCAAACAGATACAAAAGGGATGGTCAATCACCATTTAGCATGCATAAGAAGAACCAGCAACACTAGGAAATGAATGAACCAAGACAAGTAGGAATATTAGCTGCAAATTTATCAGTAATGCAATTATGTGTCATCTCATACCCCAAAAGAATTCTCATATATCAACTTCTCATCAACATAAAGCTTCTTTTGCAATGGATCATATCATCACATATGATAAAACTGAGGGCTCACCCCCCCCCCCTTTCCAAAAAAAAACACCAAATTGCAAATTGATTTGCATATAGAAATGCAAAAGGAACCTTGTTAATTGCATTCTAGTGAACAAGTGATTATACAACCATCCAGAAAGGAACTTATATACTTCGAACTTTCCTCAGATTAAGCAACCAAAAAAGGGACACCACACAAAACTATCTTTTAATTTAGTTCAGATAATCAACAATGATGCACACAGATTTTACTCACCTTTGCGGCATTTAGTAAAACCAACAATGTTTGCAATGCTGAGAGACAAACACACTGCTACAACAAGGAGATAATCCGCTTGAAACCGTATCAGAGAAAATATTCCGAGAATGATCCAGGCAGCAGCCTACAAAGAAGAAAAAAATAACAAACCTGGACTTAGATAGCAATATACCAAAATCGACATCCCAACTTATATAAGATAGACATGTTTTGAACCATAATACTTCATTAAGTCCTTAACAAAGTTATTTTAGGTAGCAATTGTACCAATTCAGGAACAGGAAGTAATTTATTATTAGAGAGTATTTGTATTTGTAATGGCTCAAAAAAATAGATAGATATTTATTTGCAAGAAGGGACTACATTATTTTTAAAGAAAATAAAGTGAAATGAGGAACTTCACTCACTGTGAGATAAAGGCTCCACCAAAACAACCACGAGTCCTTCTTGTTCATACGAGCCAATGACTGTACAGCACAAAAGGATGAATTTATATAGAGAAACTTAAAAAGGCACGCCATTCAGCTAAGTAAAAGATGGTCAAGCAATACTCAACATGCAATGACTATCAGAATAAGTCTAGTGCAATAATGAGTACTTACCTCAGGATCAAGAGATTCAAACTTCCAGATACTTTCTCCCAAATCATTAATTTCATTCCACCACCTCAAACCAACCAAAATGCGACCACTTACATTCTTGACAACCCAAAAATCAAGAGCAGCAAGGAGAACAGTAACCACAAAGATAATCACGAAGTTATCGAAGAAAAGTGCAGAGAGAATGTAAAATGCTAAAGCTGCACCCTGCATAACAATACACCCATGATATTATAGTGTTGCCACATATACATAATTGAAAAAAAAAAAAAAAAACCATCTAGCACTAACACCAAGCGTGCCATCGGCCATGGGCTCTCATAGCACATACCTTGAAAAATACATGAAAGAAGCATGTCTTCGGGTTTGAATAGTTTTCAGTAGGAGCCTGCAAATTAGGAGTAGAATCATATTAATCATAGAAATGATGATATTTCAGGTTTCAATAAACTTTGTCACTCAAAGCTGTGAACTCGGGTAGTCAATTAAAAAATTGTAAGTTTCTAGTCCAAAATGAAGTGTCCTGTTTCCAAATCCATGTTAAAACATCGAAATTTCAATGCCGAATGGGAGACAGTTCTTAAAAATTAATCCCTCAAGTAAGACCCCTCAAACTATAGCAACAATTTTAGCAGCGGACGACCCAATTTGCCTAACTTGCTCTAAATATCTAAGCTATTAAGTCAATGATCATGGTCAACACCAAACAATACAACAAGATTATAGCATCAGAACAAATTACTAGCAACAGATCAACAAAATTTCCTAATATTTCCTACTACATTGACCTTCCAAACTTCTGACAACATTATCTTCTCAGAAAATGTTCATGCTACAATTACTATAAAATCATAATCGTAAAACACAGATTCAGCGCAAAATTCAAGACGAACAACATAAGTAACAACACTAAGATCAAGATCAGGATCAAATAAAGCTTAATAATCAAACAAAATTCAGTGTCAGATCTAAGTAATGAACAATCACAATCATAAACAAAATCAAAATCAATCAAATTGAATTCATCAAATTTAACCCTAGAACTTCTAACACACGAAAATCAAATTAAATCTTCAGATAGAGAGAGAAATAAAGAGATTACCTGGACCGGATCCATGGAGAAAAGCTAGACAAATGAAAGATTTGGCGTTGAAAATTGCGAAATTGTTAGAAATGGCTTCTTCTTTTTGTAATATCGAGGGAAGTAAAAGCGACCTTTGTTGCTTATTTCTCCTTCTTCCACCTCGCTCCCCTTTGTATTTTCTCTCTCTTGTTTTTGTTTGTTTGTGTTTGTTACAGTATACAGACGTATCAATGGTTTTACCCGAGCCCGACCCGCTATGAGAGGTGGAAGATAAGTTTGGGCTTGTGCTGTAATGATTGAGTTTCTGGGCTGACCCAATTTTATCTCTTAAAGCCCGTAATTGAATACTAATACAAAGAATATGGAGTAGGGATAGCAATGGGGTGGGTCGGATGCGGTTGATAGTACCTCCATATCCATACCTGCCTAAAAATATTATGCCCATCCCCGCCCCACCACCAGTGGCGGGTACAATATCCACATCCATACCCGCGCCCACCGGATACAAGATAGGATCCATCCCCGCCCCATCACCCACTTGGATATTCATACCCACCTCATACCCGCCCTAAAATCGTCTCAAACCCTTTGCCATAATGTTCTATTGTATCGATCACATTAATGATGATTATATTAAACTAGGTTAAGAAAATTGGGACTTTCATTATTCAAGCTTATTGGGTCTTAGGAGGTATCAAGTTTCATAAATTATCAACTCTTCTAAAAAAAATATGGTGCGGGTATAAGGTGGGTACGGGGCGGGACGGATATTGGGGGGTCTACTCTAAAATCCATACCCGCCCCATCACCCATAGCGGGTACACATTTTATACCCATCCTCGCCTCATCACCCGCCAAACCTCCCTCCATCTCCGCCCCACTTGGGCGGGGATGGGGCGGTCTCCCATTTAACCCGACCCACTGCCATCCCTAATATGAAGTATTTCAAAGATAATAAGTTTAAATACGTTTAAATTAGAATGTTTAAAATAAATAATTTTTTACAAAAAAAAAAAAAAAAGTTCAAGCACAACAACTTCAAATACTATTAAAATAAGTTCAGATAAAATAAGTCAAATAACAAAGATTGAATTAAAATGAATACAAAGTGAAGTTGTGAAGAGTATTAAAAGAGGAAGTGAAGGATTTCCTAAAAAATTAGTAAGTGAAGGAGAGCATGGACTTCCGGAGTTTATAAAATGGATTATTGGAATACTGCTATTATACTTTTGTTTAATTAACTTAATTAACATTTCTTTCTTTAACAATTAAATGTTACACTTTTTATATTTACGTTCAACTCAATTTAAGTGCTACACTTTTTTTTTGGAACAACTGACTAACCTCACACACAAAGTTATCCCTTCACAGTCAACCACGATTTATAAGTCATAAAACATGGTCATTTAATAGTTACTCCGTATATAAGTGATCCGACCCGAATAGAGACGAATGCGGCTATTGGGTAACAAGGGGAGGGAAAGGGTGTGGATGTTATAAACCGAAGTGTGGGGATGAGATAGGGTCATAGTCTTATCCTAACTGGTAAGAAAATGGGAGGGAGAAACCAAGTGAAAGAAAGAACACCACAAACTACAAAGATGATATTGATCATTAATATTATTAAGGCCAAACTTAGCCCACTAAGCAGTAGCCCTTCATTATTCAGCCATTGCCAAAAACCCATAAACTACTCTGAGAAACAATGGCTAGTAGATTGGTAGTGGTTCAACCAAACCAAGCAGCTTTCTTTCATTCTTCTCTCTCCTCTGACTTCAATGGCTGTAGACTCACCCACTCTGTTCAGGTATTTTCATTACCCAATTTAGGCTTTTATTACAATTGTTGTTACAAATTTGGGTGTTGATCTAATCTCCTTTTTTGCGAAATTAATAGTCACGTATACCATTTTGAGTTGATGTCATATATTATTAATCATGTACAAGTAGACTATTACATAATGCAGAAGTTAAGATAATGTGACAACTGTCTATGTACGGAAAGAATAATTGAAAATGGAAAAAATTGCTTCTTGCCCATTAAAGTCACATATCAAAATGAAATGTTGGTGGTGGTGTTATGCCAAGTTACAATGTATTAAGTGCTATTGCTAATTTATGTACATGTAATCCTGAAGTAATATTGAATTGAGCTTGATTGGAATATTGGGAAGTAATGTCTCATTAGCTTGGAATTTAACTACAGTTGTACTAACCTTGTTTTGCTACGAATTGATTTACTTGATGTTGGGTATTGTTGCAGTTCAAGAGAAATGTGGTGCAGCCAAAAGGAGCATTACATGTAACAGCATCAAGTGCCAAGAAAATCCTTATCATGGGAGGCACCCGTTTCATCGGTATATTCTTGTCTTCCTTGTCAATGAGGGACATCAGGTACTCGTGTTGAATTTAAATCATCTATCCCACTTTTTGCGCACTGATGAGTGTGCACGTCTTGATTGGCTCAATTACAGTAAGTTTGCTGTTATGCCTTAATTTAGGTGACACTTTTCACAAGAGGAAAAGCACCAATTGCCCAACAATTGCCTGGTGAATCAGAGGCTGATTTTGCTGATTTTTCTTCCAAGGTATGAATTCATCAACTTTATAACAGTAGTAATTTAGCTCTGTTCTTAACCATTAACTCATTAAGGTTATTTTAATCATAATCACATTACCTGATTCACAGATCCTACACTTGAAAGGTGATAGACAGGATTTTGACTTTGTTAAAAGCAGCCTGTCTGCAGAAGGCTACGATGTTGTTTACGACATAAATGGTAAGTTGTATATGTATGTCGCGATTACACACTTCACAGCTTGATGCATACTTGGATATTTACATATGTAGTGTCTCATTACAGGAAGAGAGGCAGTTGAGGTTGAACCAATATTGGATGCACTTCCAAAATTAGAACAGTAAGCCTAGTCTTTTAAACTGTGTTTCTTTAGGAGTCAGGCAGATGGATTCATACAGTCAAGGATAAGTCTGTCTTGACATTTTAAATTCAGAAAGTGACTTACAATCCATTCCTGTACTTACCAGATATATTTACTGCTCGTCCGCTGGTGTTTATCTCAAATCAGACCTCTTGCCACACTGTGAGGTAATCCAATGACTAAAATTACAGAGTTGCATATGTGATGTACACTGCACTGTGTCTAACAACATGGAGTTGGAACATAGAAGTTTAAACAGTTTATAGTATACTGTATTAATCTTACATTCATTGACATGACTGGAAACACTATATTTTCAGGCAGATGCTGTTGATCCAAAGAGTAGGCACAAGGGAAAGCTTGACACCGAGAGCTTGCTTCAAACAAGGGGTGTAAACTGGACTGCTTTAAGGCCTGTGTACATATATGGTCCATTGAACTATAACCCAGTCGAAGAATGGTTCTTCCATCGCCTCAAAGCTGGCCGCCCAATTCCTATCCCTGGTTCAGGAATTCAAATTACCAGTCTTGGTCATGTTAAGGTTAGCAAACACCTCACTGTTATCTGCTTTTAAATCATTATACCATCAGAAAGTAGTGCACTAGTATTGCTCACAAACAAACTATAGCCGCCTTTTTATGCTGTTTATCAGTGCTATCAGGTATAAGCAATCAGAAAATTGCACTTCATAGATAAATAATATGAAAAGAATACTGGCCTTGTTCACTTCAACTTATTTGTCAGATTTTTAAAAATGAATCAAAAATCAGGGAAGATCAATTTTAGTTAGAAATAGTAAGTTCAGTTCCGTAAAAATCAGTTGAAGATAACAAGGGCTATAGACTATATAGCTGTATAGATTATGTGCTTGCATGAAGGCAAGATTTACAACTCAAAGAGTAATAAAAGGGGAGTTGTATGTACTAGGACTTGGCAGATGCATTCGTAAACGTTCTTGGAAATGAAGCAGCAAGTGGACAAGTCTTTAATATTACAGGAGAGAAGTATGTAACCTTTGATGGACTAGCAAGGGCATGTGCAAAGGTAATGTTGCTGAAGTTTGAATTTGTGAAAGTTAAAACAAAGTCCTTTTATTAATACTGGAAACCAACTGTTGATTATCTGATTATTGTCTTGGTTATTTCGTTCATTTTTCAGGCTGGTGGATTTCCAGAGCCTGAGATTATCCACTACAACCCCAAGGAATATGATTTTGGTAAAAAGAAGCCTTTCCCATTCCGTGACCAGGTACCACTCGATTATGCTTGGATTTAATGTATCGTTTCTTCATCTTCATTATCCATGTGTGAAAGAGGAAACAGTATCAGAATAAAATGTTAAAGTTGTATAGCATAAAAAAAAGATAGACAAAAACCAAGAATAGACTAGCAGCAACAAAAAAAGTTCAACTGCACTGTAACACTAGGAGTCTAGGAGGTCTTTCCCTCTGTGCCATATATGATATGAAATTAATAATACGAAGTTTTAAGTTTGAGGATCATATCTGGAAAGGAACCTCTCTCATTATGTTTACAACTTCCTTTAATTTCTTAATGCAATGATATGCCCATGACTACCTTAAGTAGCTATAGCTGGTTGTGCCTAAGCCAAGCCAAGAGAAAGTAATAACAGCATAATAGTCCAACGAGTTTCTATCCAAAATCGGCCAGTTGACAATAGAAAGGGTGGCAACTTCACTTATTTGCCCATTCCTTTTGGTCCCTCCTACCATTATTCCAATGTATGACAATTTTTCTTAACCCACATGCATGCAGAGTAAATCCCCCCACACTCCCAAAGACCCACAATATGTTCCTGCAACAATTTCTAGGCCTTACCGAGTTACCGTCATGGCTTTCCTAGAAGAATTGTGGCATAGAAGCTTGAACATGTGCTTATAATCAGTATTTTCTTGTAACAAACTGACTACTTATTCCATCATAGTTCTATCCTTGCTAATTTTATTTCGAAACATCTATGGACCTTCCTGATGATATGCTGATTTCTCATAACTAGTCCTAATTCCTAAGTTTGTTTCTTAAATGCAGCATTTCTTTGCATCAATAGAAAAGGCAAAGAAGGAACTTGGTTGGACACCAAAGTTCGACTTAGTCGAAGGCCTCACAGACTCATACAGCCTTGACTTTGGAAAGGGAACATTCAGGAAAGCAGCTGATTTTGAAACAGATGACATTATCTTGGGCAAGACCCTTGCTACTGTCTAAGACAGTTTCTGCTATGATCAACCATTTCTTGTTGTAACCTACAGAGTACA